AGTTCTTGGGCATGCAGCTCCCCCAAGGCACAAGGCCTGAGTGCCCCACTGAATAAGAGACAGTTGGGGATGGCAGCCCTGCCAGCCCTCTGGGCTTCAAGTTCCCCACAGCCTGGGCACAGTTGTGTAGCGAGACAAGGCCTAGGACTTCTAGCCTGCTGTCCAAGGTCCCCATGGTGGTCCATTCAGAGGTTTGGGAACTCTGTGGGCCTGTAGACCTAGGTGAGCCCTCAGGCCAACAGCATAAGCAGAGTGGAGGCCACTGCCTTCCCCATTCCCCAAAACCTCAACTCTTCAGAGTGGCCTTGTAGCCTCCATTGGACAGGTAGGGGGCTCAAGTGATGCCTTGTCCAATGCAGAGGAAAACAGATCCTAGTCATTCCTGGCTCACAGTTGGCTGCTTCTCACACAAGGGAGAACTTGAGTGTCCCAGCAGTGGGGCAGCCAGCACATGAAGAAACCCAGCCCTCCCTGCATCTTGGGGCCTGGTCTCTTGGGAAGACCCTGTGAAGTCAGCTGTGTCCCCCTCCCCCTCTAACTCTGGACATCCTAGGAATAAATGGAGGATGCCACCCCCACCTGGGGAGGTGCTCCTGGCCTTTGAATTCTTGCTAGAAAGCTGTTCTACCAGCCCCTGACAAATCAAATGCTTATGCAGCCAGGCTGCCTCCCTAGTTACTCAGGACAGAAAAAGATGCCTCAATCCCATGCCACATGCTCCTTCTCTTAGTCAGCAGCCCAACTTGAGCCTCAGTTTCCTCATTTGTAAGATGGGGATAGCTACGCCTTCCTGGCCATGTCACTGATAGTCAATAGGGTCACACACACAAGCTCTTGGTAAACTTCTGTTCCCTCTGCCTCATCACTGATGTGCCAGGGAGGGGCCGCTTGGCAGTGAGCCCTGACCAACCATTGGGTAGGCCAAAGAGTGGTGAAGGTATGAGGCTGCCTTGAAGCCAGAGGACTGAGGGGTATGACCTCACTAGGCAGGAGTTGTGGAGGGAAGGTTTTCCAAGTCCCTATTCATGCAGTTCAGGCCTGGGGCAGGATTCTTAGACTGCCTGCCCCTTGTAAGCCACCTCATCCCTTAGAGCTGCCCAGGAGGGTGCGGCAGTGCCAAGTTAGTGTTTACCTGACCCCAGCCCTTCACAGCCTGGGTTCCACAGAACTGAGCTTTTCCACATTCTTAAGTAGCATTGGGAGGCCCCTGGGGCTGTGACCAGCCCCCAGCGTAGGCAGTGGGCACTGTAGGCAACAGTAACTCTGGGTCCCAGGGACATAGCACCACAGATGCCATTTCTATTTGGCTGGAGTGGTAAGGTCTTAAATAATTTGGAGAGGTCTTCTTAACAAAAAGAACATAATACTACTAATCTTGCAAGTTTTATAGATATACAGGGTACAGCAAAAGTGAATAGGTTTATAGTTATTTTTATGGAAAATAACACAATAATTAATAAATAATAATATAAAGGTAAACTCTGTGTTTCACGTACTCACAACTGTAAACCTAGTCTTGCCAGATCCTGGGGACTCAAGAGAGGCCATGAAAATGAGGGCCCTGGACTTTCAGCAGATCTAGATGACTTTGTTCTCTTCTTGTTATAGCCAAACACCAGAACGTTCTTCTGCACAGGGCATCAGGGCAATGCTGCCAAGGGTCAGGGTATTTCTGGAATGTGGCTGGTGGGAATTGGACTGAGGGACCCATAGGGATGTTCCCTGGACCCACCAGAGCCCCTTTTCTTTCCTCTGAGGTTGTTTGTGTCCCCCACCCCCACAGAGACTTCTTTGTGCCTATCCCCTGACTGAATGAGGTGTCACCCATCAGTCCTAAGATGACTTCCAGATTCCACAGACCCTTTCTCACCAGGGCCCACCCTGAGATACACCTCACAGGCCCCCTTTCCTCAGGAGTTCACCAACTCCCTGACAGGCCCTTCAGGACTCAGCCACTCAGTAGACACTGTCCCGGTGCCAGCCCAGAACCCACCCCACTTACAACCTACAGGCTACTGCTGCCCTCATCACATCACTCCCCTGCCCATGAGACGCTTCTCCTCTTTAATGAACAGTCCTGATGTAAGTACCCTGACTCCAGTTACAACACACCATGGCCCACATCTCCTGGCAAGGCTGGGCCCAAACACAAATCCCAAATGCCCAACAGGGAGAAAGCAACAGGCCTTAGAAGGCCAGCTGCCTAGGACCAGACCCAAGTCCCAGACCTTGGTGCTCTGGCCCAGGTCTAAGCCCACCTGACCTTCCAGCTGCTGTGACCACTAACCTGTCCTCTTAGCCCAGCGTGTGGCTCGCTGAGGGTGGACTCTTTTCCAGCTAAGAATCAGGGACAGCTCAAAACCCTCCCAATCAGGGCTAGGTTCCTGGCAACTCTTGCAAGGAACAACACTACCTGCCTGTACACCTAAAACTAACACAAAATAAAACTGAATGTAAGCTGTAATTGAAAAATAAAATTAAAAACAAAAACATTGCCTGCCTAATGGGGTTGAGAATGACCCAAGAGGGAACCTCCCCATGTTGGAAGACCTGACCCATGCTAGGCCCCAGTGGAGCAGTCCTTCAACACAGCCACTGTGTTAGCCTGTCCTGAGTCAGAAGGTCAAATCCAGCCATTGGCACAGGAAGAATCAGGTCTTGGCAGGAGCCAACCAGTTCTCCAAATGGAATTTTCTCAAAAACTCAGTTTGGCAAACGACCAACTGCCTGCATCATCAAGTCAAAGAAAACCAGTTTTTCAAATAGCAATTTGCCAACTCAGCAATTACAAATTCAGGGGGAAAAATTAAGTACTTAAATTCTTAGGGCTGTCTTATGTCTGAAGCATGACGATTTCTTATGTGATTTGAATTGGAGGTGTTATGAATGTCCCAAGTTTCATGATTGTCCAACTTGCCTATGCTTCTTCTATTTCTGCTTCATAGATTTGAGCTCACAGTATACACTGACCCCTCGTAGTCACAGAGAGCCAAGCCCAGACTCCTGGAGACTTGGGGTATCACTCACCAAAGAAGGACTTCCCCTGTGTGTCAATACCCACACATTCATGGGTCTCAGTCAGGTTCCTAGTGAATATCAGAGGACACATGAAAAGAGTCCCTCTGAAGAGAGGGACTGTTCACAAAGGTGTGAACAGACTTAAGGGAACTGATGAGGGATGGTGAGGTCCCTAGAGACCAGCAGCAGTGAGAATTGTTACCTCCCCAGACCTGGAGGGGTGAGGGGGACTGCACAGATGCTGAGGACAGCTGTGGCTATATAGGAGAGCCTCACTGGACAGGAACTGCAGCCATCAGCAGCAGCAGCACAAAGGCCATTACGGACACACACATCGAACTTCAGAGAAACTAGGAGACTGGGAACCCCCTGGAGTGTGTGTGTATGGAGAGGGGTGGTGGCAGGAATCAGTCTCAGAGGTTACCAGTCCCTGGAGGAGAAGGCCTCTGAGAGAGAACTCCTTGGGACAGAACTAAGACCTGAGGAAATGAAAAAGAAGAAGGTGACTAAGGAAGTCCTGAGGTGACAGATCTCAGATGTTGTACCTCCAAGAGAGAAGGGAGTCCTTGGGAAGGCAAGAACTGACTGAAGCCCTGAAGGTTGCACCTGGGAAAAGAAGGCTGCAGGTAGAATCTTCCTGAAGCCAGGTGGTTTCTAAAAGGCAGAGCGGTTATGGATACACAGGAAAGTCCGACTCTTTTGTGAGGGAAGTGCAGGCTCCTGAGCAAAGAAGCCTGGGACACTCCCCTGGCCCCACCCCCTCTCCCCTCAGGAATCTCCAGCTAATGTCTGAGAAATTCCACTTCAGATTTGAACTTAAGATTCCTGGAGGCCTCCAATATGTCATGAATACCAAGATTTTATGAATGATAGGGTAGCTTTCTCTCCTCTAACTCAATGTTAATTGAATTGCAAAAATAGTAGAGTTTTCATATTTTCCTTACCCAGTCTCACCACTTGTTCACATCTTACACAACTACAGTATAATGGTCAGAACCAGGGAATTAACATTAGCATATTCAGCTAAATTAAATGTAAAATTATTTAATTAAATAATATGCTTGAATAAATTAGAATTATTTAAATTGTTTAACTAAGTTAAATATTAACATATTAGCTAAACTAAAGACTTTATTAGAATTTCACCAGTTTTTCCACTAATTTATTTTTCTGTCCCCAAATTCTATCCAAGATCACACACTACATTTAGATATTTCTCCTTAATCTCTTGCAGTTTTATAGGACTGCAATAGAAGTCCCTTCCTCTTTCCTTGTCTTTCATAACCTTGACACTTTTAAATTGTACTTATCAGTGGTTTTGTCAAATATTTTTTATTTGGGTTCACCTGATGTATTCTCATGAATGCACTGAGATTATGTATTTTGGGTAATAATACCACAAAAATGATGTATCCTTTCCAGTGTTTCATATCACAGAGTTCCTGATGTTGATATGTCTTCTTCCTAATGATGTTAAACTTTATCATTTGGTTAAGTTGGTCTCTGCTGGGTCTCCACAGTAAAGCTACTTACTATCTTCCTCTTGTAGTTAATAAACATCTAAGGAGAGATACTTGGAGACTATGCAAGTTCTGTTTCTCTTCAAATTAAAAAATTTAATTGTGGTAAAATACATATAACATAGTCTTTACCATCTTAACTACCTTTTAAAAAATTTTTAAAATAGAGGACAGGCTGACAAGGACCACAGGGGAGAGAAGAGGGAATTTCAGGGGACAATGGGAAGGGTTTACAGGAACAAATTTAAAGGACACATGGACAAAAACTAGGGGGAGGGTGGTAATGGGAGGGAAGAGGGGAGGGTTGGGTGGGTGGGCTGGATTGGGAGTAAAAGGGAGAAAACTGTACTTGCACAATGATTAAAATAAAATCTAAAAAAATTAAATTTTATTTTATGTGCAAAGAGCTAGTCATTCTGCAATAAGGTGGATGTCTTGAATGACCTATTCAAAGAAGTTCACTTAGTCTAACTTAATGAAGCCTATATCCTTCGAGTACTGATGGAAACACTGGTGGCACATATTAATAAGGCCATACTTCTGGGTCAGGCAATGCTGGTTTGAGCAGATGTGGCAAGAACGATAACCCTGGCCAAATTTTCTTGGATAGCTCCAGTACAGCTGCTGGTGACCCATCTTGTTCTCTCTGCTGCAACAAGGCAAAAGGAAAGACCATCTTAACTATCTTTAAGTGTACAGTTGAGTAGTGTTAAGTATTCACATTGTTGTGCAGCTGATCTCCAGAACTTTTTCATCTTGCAAAACTGAACCTCTATACCTATTAAATAACTCCCTAATCCCCCTCTTCCTAGCCCCTTATAACCACCATTCTACTTTCTGTTTCTATGAGTTTGACTACTCAAAAGAACTCATATAAGTGGAATCATATAGTATTTGTCTTTTTGTAACTGGCTTATTTTCCCTAGCATAATGTCCCCAAGGTTCATCCACGTCGTGGCATGTGTCAAAATTCCCTTCCTTTTTAAGGCTGAACAATATTACATTATATGTATATACCACATTTTGTTTATTCATTCATCCATCAATGGACATTTACCTTAATTTTACTTTTCAGCTATTGTGAATAATGCTGTTATGAACATGGGTTACAAACATTTTTTCAAGAACCTGTTTTCAATTCCTCTGAATATATATCCAGGAGTCCTATTGCTAGATCATATGGTAATTCTATTTTTAATTTTTTCAGGAACTGCCACAATGTTTTCCATAATGACTGCATCATTTTACATTCCCAACCAACAGTGTACAAGGGTTCCAGATTCTGCACATTCTCACCAATACTTGTTACTTTGTGTTTTTTTTTCAAATTCTCACTTGAGGACACATTTATTCTTTTTGAGAGAGAGAGAGAGAAACACCTATGAGAGAGAGAAACACTAATGTGAGAGAGAAACATCAATTGCCTCCCATATGTGCTGCAACCAGAGATCAAACCCACAACCTAGGTATGTATCCTAACTGAGAAATGAACCTGCAGCCTTTTGTGGTATGGGACAATGCTTCAACCAACTGAGCCATCTGGCCAGGGCTATGTTGTTGTTGTTATTTTAATAGCACCCATCCTAATGAGTATAAGGTCATATTTCATTATAGTTTTGATTGGTATTTCTCTAATGACAGGTGATGTTGAATGATTTTTTATATTCATATCAATCATTTGCATATAATCTTTCAAGAAATGTCTATTCAAGTCCTTTATCAATTTTAATTGGATTATTTTTCTTGTTAAATTAAAAGAATTTTTTAGATATTCTGGACATTATTAACCTCTTTTCAGATATGAGTTGTAAATTTTTTCCCATTCTATAGGTTACCTTTTCACTTGCTGGTTGTGTCTTCTAATGCACAGTTTTTAATTTTGAGGTAGTCTAATTTATCTGGTTTTTCCTTTGTTGCCTGTGCCTACAGTGTCATAGCTAAGAAATTATTGCCAAATCCATGTAATCAAGCTTTCTTCCTGTGTTTTCTTCTAAAAGTTTTATAGTTTCAGGTCTTACATCTATGTTTTTTATTTATTTTGAGTTAATTTTTATATGTGGTACCAAGGTAAGTGTTCAACTTCATTCTTTTACATGTGAATATCCAGTTTTCTCCAAACCATTTGTTGAAAAGATTGTTCTTTTCCCATTGAATGATTTTGGCACACTTGTCAAAACTCATTTGACCTCTTCTCAAACTTTTGCACACTAATTTTAGCATCTATCAATGCACCTTACCTGCAATAATTATTTTTGTGATGTTTGCCTAATGGTGATTCACTATTTTCCCTTTTCTTCTACATTAATTAATTAATTAGAATTCTACAGTAAGAGTTGCCTCTTCTCCACATTTATTTAATCCATTTTTTATTCATATCAGTAGGGATTCATGAATACAATATTTATCTTATTCTGTTGGTTAAATCCCAATACTATCATTATTTATTTTGTTGCTCAAATCAATCTAGCTTTAGCCATTAGAAACTCCTTCGGGTTGGTTCCTGTGTGCTTTCAATAAACCCCCATTTTTCTCTCTCTTTCTTTCTTTCCTTCCTTCTTTCTTTCTTTTCTTCCTATCATCTTTATTTCTTTCTGTCTATCTATCCATCTATCTATCTACCTATCTATCTATCTGTTTTAACACTTTCTTACTTTCCGGCACTACAAGGATATTGCAGGCCGATCTTGGATTTTCCCACCCCAGCCCTACAATCAACTACTTCTCCTTGGAGTTCTGGTTCCTTTTATTAGAGAATGGTATTTAGAGATCAAGATCTGGGAGATAGGTATGCTCATTGCTACTGGGATATCATTTCTCTTAAGACTCTCAGCAGATAGCTCTAGGAAGTATATGTATTTACTAACATTTTCATACACACACATATATTTCTATATTTATTAGTACGTATAATTAAAAGCCATGAGTACACATTGATACCTTAGATTCCTGTCCAACACCACAGGGTTCATTTTAGAGTTCCCTATTCCTTATTTGTTATCTCTTCCTCCAACAATTATTATCTAGTATATTTACATGTGCATTTAATTGTAGTATGTACAGTAGTCCCCACCTTAATCACAATTTTGCTTTTCATGGTTTCACTTACCCATGGTTAACTTTGGTTCTGAATATAAATGGAAAATTCCAGAAATAAACAATGCATAAGTTTTAAATTGTGTGCTGTTCTGAGTAGCATGATGAAATCTCACACCATCCTATCATACTTCATCATGCTTGGATGTGAATCATCCATTTTTCCAGCATATCCTTGAAAAGTAGTGATCCTGGCAATTTGGATATATCAAAGGGAAGCCATGATGTGCTTCTTTAAGTGTAAAGGTGTGTATGTATAGGAAGAACACAGTATACATAGAGTTTGACGCTACCTGCAGTATCAGGCATCTACTGGAGGGCAGTCTTGGAATATATCCTCCATTGATAAATGGTAGTATATATATTTTTTTCAGAACTGCTAACCCACAATCCTGTGAGAAACACATTTACTGACTAGATTACAGGATTTTGTAAGTTATTTTTGCCTTTAGCCTTACAGGATCCAGTCAATACAGTCATATGTCACATAATGACATTTTGGTCAATGATAGACCATATATATGACAATGGTCCCATAAGATTATAATGGAGCTGACAAATTCCTATTGCTTAATGACCTCATAGCTATTGTAACATCATAATGCAATGTATTACTCACATGTTTTTGGTGATACTGGTATAAACAAACCTACTGTGCTGCCAGTCAGATAGAAGTATAGCACATACAATTATGTACAGTTCATAAATACTTGAAAATGATAACAAACAACTATGTTACTGGCTTATATATTTATTATACTATACAGACTTTTTATCACTATTTTAGAGCATACTCTTTCTACCTGTAAAGTAGAAAACTGTATGCTGGGTTACACCAGCAGGAGCCTCAAACATCTTGTGTTTACTGCATCTCTTGTTTGCATCATTTTCTCTTGTGCTTGATTTAATCTCTTGTTGTTTTGTGCAGTAATGTGCGGTACAGACTTAGAGCCTAGGAGCAATAGGCTGTACCATGTGGCCTAGGTGTGCAGGCTTGTGGATGTGCACTCCATGATGCTTGAGCCATGATGAAATTGCCCAATGGCACATTTCTCCCATGCATCACTGTAATCGAGTGGCACATGACTGTGTGCTATTTTCCAAAGCTATTTAGGTGTTTTCTTTTCTTTTTTACCCTTTCAGAGTGACCACTTTCTTCATTTGTAGTAGAGTTTGGATCATTTGTTAGTGTTTATATTCCATTCTGTGTTCCCCTCTACTACATTCCAGATGGTTTTAGTTATTTGTTTATTGGGAGAGGGTGTGTGAAACATTACTATGTTTTTTCAAGTCAGAATTTTACAAAAAGATAAAACAGAAAAGTGCCTTTCTCTTCTCTCCTACCCTGTTCCCATTCACTCTTTATTTTCATTACTCCTCCCTCTTACCCCCTCCCCGCCAAAGTAACCAATCTCTTTAGATTCTGGTTTATCCTTCATTTTCTTTCCACAAATATGTAGAGAAGTGCATTTTCTTACATCCTCTTTTCTTTACAGAAAAGATAGCCTAACATGAATGTGTTGTTTTGCACTTCACTTTTTTCTACCTAACCATAAAAACCTGATATCTTTTAAGTATGAAAAAGAATGCCAACACTACACTCATTGCATATGAAGAAATCTCACCAAAAAATTTACCTCAAAGGATGCACATGAAAGGAGATGCCAGTGAGGTCCACGTCCAGGTGGCTGCTGGTGGATGTGGCATGTTAAATCCCTCCTCACCCTGCGCAAAACCCAGATCGGCTCTGGCCCACGGACCTGGAGTTGATGTTATTGTTGGGAAGGACAAAAAAGTCAGAAAGATTCCACAGTATCTGATCCCTTTTAAAGAGTTTTAAAAGATTTTATTTATGTATCTTTTAGAGAGGGGAAGGGAGGGAGAAAGAGGGAGAGAAACATCAATCTGTGGTGGCCTCTTGCACACCCCAGGCTTGTGCCCTTGACTGAGAATCCAGCCCGCGAGGGTTTGGTCCACAGGCTGTGGCTCAATCCACTCAGCTACACCAGCCAGGGCTCTGATCCATTTTAATGGTTGGAACAGAAGCTGAGATGGATGGGCAGCTGAAGATCATATTCTCCGAGACACCAATGATGATCTGAGATTACAGTGTAAATTGGCAAGGAAAGCTGTAGCTCGCCTAAGCACAGTAAGAAAGAAGCTGTTGGTTGCCTGGTGTTGATTCTGTTCTAAAAAGCCTCCTGTTGAAGACAAAGATGAGAATGATGAGAACTCAATTAGCAGTTCCTCTGACAACAGTAGTGAAGAAAAGGATGAGCAGTAAGTGAAGAAATTGACACTGAAGGAAAGACTGGAGTGAAGGAAGAACTGGAGCAGCACACAAAAAGGGAGATGGAAGAAAAAACAGTTACTACAAACATCCCTGAAGTTCGGAAGAAGCTAGTGGATGATTACTACATCAACAGGAGGAAACAGTTAATGAAACTTCCATGCCAGACCAACATCATAACTATTTTTGGAATCCTACCTGAAGCATTTTGCTATCAATGCAGCCTTTTCAGACAATGAGAGGCCTCCTCATCATCACACTGTGTCACATGCCAACAGGAACGTCCATTATATCCCTACAGCAGAAAATGTTGACCTTTGTAAAGAGATGGTGGGTGGATGAAGAATAACCTTTGATTATACTCTCCCATAGGTTTTGCTGTATCCACATGAACAAGTTCAGTATAAAAAGGTGACTTAGTCCAGTTTTTTTTCCAACTAAGGAAAGCAACACAAACACTAATAAGAACCAGGAGGAGCTTTCTGCAAGCCCACCTTTGCTGAATCTGTCCACCCTGCAGTCCACGGAGAGTCAGCCAATCACAGGTGACCCGCCACCCCTAAAAGGCAAAAGCTAAGCCAGAAGCCTTGCAGTCTCTGTAAAACCTTACTTCAAACCCAGCCAAGGGTTCACACAGTCCTTTTTTTATTCTTATTTTAACTTTTTAACCTTTTTAAAATACAAAATTCCATGCACAAAAATAGAAAACAACAGACACTTACAAATACATTGTAATAATCCAAGGTGCCTAGCTATAACAATTGTCAACTCAACCCCAGATGTCTTCTCAGTTTGTTTCAGAACTCAAGGGGTTGGCTGCTTGGGCTGCTCTCCTCAAGAACAAGAGTGATAGTTGTCTCAGGTAATTTCATTTACTTGCAGCAAGTAAAGGAGACAAAGGATTTATATCCAAAGCTCTGTAGCCTAGAAGGGAGGCTCAGTCATTGCTTATATATGCAGTATTTGGTCAATTATGCATTCATTTCTTTTTTGCAGCTGTCTACATTTACTCTGTTGGGTTTATGTCAAGCTCATCCTGTTTACAGCTGGTTTGCAAAATGTTGTGCTACATTTTAACATTTAGCAAGAATAACCTTTAGTAATAACACTTAGAACTTCCCAGAACTTGAGACCCTTGTTCTAGCTAACAAGTTCATCTGCAAATATTCCATTCTTGAGGAAATTTCTAGAGGACTAACTCTAACAAACCAAGAGATAGCAGAAAATATTTCAGGAAAGGAATGGCAGAAAGCTTTCAATACCTTCAGTTGCAGATGTAAGATAAAACAAAGGTGTGGCTCAGAGTGGAGGAATGGAATGTAAATGTTACATGTTTTCATAAAGTAGAAATGAGACAACTAACCAAAAATAACAAAGAGAGGAGAAAGAGAAGGTGGGGAGTGGAAAACTCTGCCCCTTGTCTCTCATGTAATTGGATGGGAATGAGAGCTGAGAAGTCAAGTGAAACCAAAAGGTAATGCTAGTGACTGTCTTGCCAGTTGTGGAACTGGAATTTGGAGAATTAGGAATTATTTGGGAAATTGCTAAGGAAAAATTGATATTTTGAAGACTTGACTAAGACTTAGCAGATGTAGTGGTCATAGCATTCACCTCCTCAGCCAGTCTGGGCTCAACCAGTTTCCTGAACTTTATGGAGACAGGCCTGGGCTCCTATGGGTTCTCATGGGGTACCCTGGCACCATGCCCACTGTGTTCCAGACATGGGGCAAAAGACAAGTCCAACCTAGCTAGCCCTGCTCCTAAGGACTCACTGTGGGGGGACATAGAAATAGGTGTTTGCATGGTGTCATGGGAACACCAGCTGCACGAGGGGTGGAGGTAGTGTGGAAGGAGCTGCATTGAAGAGATGGCACCACGATGAACTTGACAATATGTGAACTCATTGCTATCCAGTAGGTGAACCAAAGGAGTCATTCTTGCATTTCTTCAGCAAATGTTGCCAAAACACCAATCTAGGCAGGGCATGCACCAATTAGTGGAAGAAACTTGGTTGCAGTCCCACAGACAGTCATCACAGAGATGCACACAGGAAAGTGACTTGATGTGTGGGTCACCGGCCAGCAGTGACCACGGAACGCTGTGGATGGCTCGATGATAAACACGCAAGAAAAAACACACATGCACAGAGACAAACTAGTTTCTGTGGGGAAGTAGGGACGAAATGGCCACCCCCCCCAGTGGGGAGCGCGCCGATTTACAGTCCATACCTGCTTTTATTGGGCTCATTTTGCATAATAATTCAGGTAAAGTACAGTACTCATTAGGGGGAAGTAAGGAACTATAGAAAACAAGGAACTCTGCCGGTCTATTTTGAGTCGGGGTCAAAGAGCTGTAAGATTTTGAGGAACATAACTTCCTCCTTGGACCCCTCTTATTCAACTGAAAGCATTCTAAACAAGGGAGGTTTCACAGTAATTTACATGTTCTTTCTTAGGCCTGATCACCTGGGGAATCCGCCCTTTTTAGCATAGAGCTGCACCACCCTGTCATTGTTTCAGGCTTAGGTGGAGCAAGGGAACTAAGGCAACCAGGAGACAAGGAGGTTTTCTCTCAGACGCTGAGAACTCAGGCTATGTCAAAGCCGAGGAGCGAGGGTCCATCACCCCCTTTTGCTGCAGCCCCCCAAGTCCTTCTTTTGGGGGGCCTCCCAAAGTGATCGTGCCTGTCTTAGGTCGTTCCCCCCTTGGGGAATCTTACCCGTCTTTGGCTAACCGAGCGAGCTTTTTGGGGTTCAGTTATGAATAAAGCAGCAGAAGCAGCATTCCTGCCAGGGAGATAAGCTTTTGTCTCCTTGCTAGCTTATGGTTCCAAGGGCGCTCCCTTAGCCTTAGCCTAGGTGGGCGTTTCAGCTTCTGATACCAGTCAGGGCAGTTCCCAACAGTGACTGATTAGTATAACTGTGGAAAAGAAGTACAGGGAGTGTGAGAATGCATCAATGGTGGCCAGGCTCATTCTGAGTGTGTGTGTGTGTGTTGGAGGCCCATCAGGGAAGCTGAAACCTGAGGGATGAAAAAGTAGGAGCCAACTGGACAATGGTAGTTCATGGGAAAAGAACAGCATTCCAGGCAGAAAAAAACATGTGCAAAGAGCCTGAGGTGAGCAGGAAATGAAAAAAGGTCCGTGTGGCTGAGGCTGAGAGAAAGAAGTTGTAGTGAGAGGAGACTTTTGTTTGCAACAGAAAACCTAATACACAGTGGCTCAAACAATGAAGAACTGCATCCTTTCACCTAGCATGTGGCAGATGAAGGATTAATTTAGGGACTGAATAAAGGAAACCCAGGACCCAGGTTCTTTTTATATTTCTGCTCTGCCCTAATCAGCAAGTTGGCTGTTCCTTGGGCTTGTTCCTCCTGTGGTTTCAAGTGGCTGCCCCACTTGCAAGCATCATTTCCAGCCATAGGAATACACAGTGGAAAAGGAAGGGCTGCTTCTTCCTGTCTTTCCTCCACTTTACCCCCGCTCCCCACCATCCCAGGGTGAAAAATCTTTCTTAGAAGCCCCCCTGGTCTTCAGGAGAACAGGGTGAAGACAGATTGCTGGGCCAATTGGGATTTCTCCAGGAATCACAGGAGTCACACACAGGAAGGGGATGCACACCAGAAAAGCTATCAGGGCTCTGCCAGTCCAGCCCCACCTGCCTCCCAGTGTGATCCCACATGCTCTCTCCCCACCTAGGCATATGCTCCTGGAGATGCTAGATCTACCACCCAGGCTGCCCCAGGTGTCTCTTGAAGGACCTTCCCTTTGGGCCAGAGTGAGCAGCCTGGCCCATTTTGCAGACTAGGGGAAGCCTTCTTTTGGGGACAGCAACAAGGAACCAGGCATGTAAGTGGGCTCGGCCCTAGGATGAGGGTGCGAGGTGTTGACAGTGAGGAGAAACCTGTTGGGCAGAGTTCTCAGAACTGAGAAGGGAAAATCACCTGAGCAGAGCATCACCCCCAAGGGGTGGCCAAAGGGAAAGGAATACGCAGGTGGGGAGCTTCACTGCCCCCTGCTGGCGGGCCGTGGAAGGTCTCCCAGAAAGCCTGCCTTGAGTCTGCATCCCAAGGAAAGATGCCTTTTCCTCTTAATTTCCCCGGAACTGGTAGGTGCCGTGTAATCAACATCATGAAATGAAATGTCATGACTACGTATGTACTCGTCTAGAAGCAAACTAGGGCATTACAGTGGAGAGACTAACATATGAAAAGGCGTGGAGGTGGGAAAGGGGAACCGGGCATCACTAGCCTAGGTGTGTCAGAGGGTTCGGATGAAAGAGGCTGGAGGAAGGCTGGGCCTTATCCTGCGGCAACTGTGAGTCACCCACCCACAAGGCGCACCCAGAGCTGGCGTCACGTACGTGGACACGTGCTGGGGACCAGACAGACGAAAATGCGGGGCTCTGTCGACTGGCCTGAGAGGGAGCGTGCTTGAGGGCGTGGCCTCGCGCGCACGCAAGCAAGGGAGCAACCCCCGCCCGTCGCACACTTCACTCTCACGTGTTCAGCCCCGTGCGCCGCAGGCCCCTCCTCCCGGGCGTGTCGGGTGTGTAGTGGGTGAGCCTGCTCCGGCCGCCACCCTGAAAACAAGCCCAGTGGGCGGAGCTAGGTTCAGGGGGTCCACGCCCTGCGGGGTGACTCACCGCCGGATGAGGCTGTCACTTAAACACCCCGAGGGACTGGCGGCGGTAGCAAGGGCCGGAAGCTCGGCCCTGAGACTCTTTGTCGTTCGAGCGAGCTCCGGCCGCTTGGGGCCCGCAGCCGCCGGGTGCCAGATTCCCCAGTGCTCCAGATGCCCCAGATGCCCCAGTGCTCCGAGCAGCTATCGGAGGGCAGTTCTCGAGGCCCGGGCCCTGAAGCTCCAGCCCCAAGCTGAGCCCCTTGAAGTTTTGGGGACTCAGTATTCAATTCCCCTGCTAAGGGGGGCAGAAGTTCCGGAGTGGAGGAGTGGGGATCGCTTGTGAATTGAGCTCAGGAGGGGCACATACCTAGATGGGGGCTCAAATGCGGTTATAAGGGAGCATCTGGATACGCAGTTGAGAGAGGAAGTGTGCTTGAGGGCGTGGCCTCGCGCACACGCACGCAAGGGAAAATAGGAAACCAATTCTTAAACAGTTGTGTGTGCTTCCGAAGTTGAAATGCCAGGACCCTGGGCGTTTGTGTGGTGGGGACGGTGCTAGGTTTCTGGATATGGGGGCTCTGCTCTAGTCGAGGGAGTATTGGGCCCAGCTGGGGGTGGGGAGGAGACATGAAGTGGACACAGAGTAGGAACATGTGCTTTAATGAGGCATTAGGCCAAGGGGGCAGCAGGGCCTGGAGGGGAGTCACCCAGGGCTCCCTTTTGTCACTTCAAGAGGCCAAATTTTTTCCCAAAACCTGAGACAGTCTCAGTGACTTGGTTAGCTGCCTTGTCGATGGTTTCCTGAGTGGATTTGGTGGCCTGGTCCATGGCTGGGGAAGAAAAGGAGAGGACAGGTAAGCATGGGGCCCTGGAGAACCAGAGGTATGCAGGGGTAGCCTGGCCTGGGTCCGATTCCCAGGAAGCATTGTGGGCAGAGGGTCTGCACAGGATAGGGTCTGCCCACCCTCCTGCCCTTTTGCCTCCCCCTTCCCTTCAGCCCCACCAGACCTTTCTGCCCTGCCTCTGTTGCCTGATCCACCACTTGCTGAACTGCTGCTCCAGCTGCAGTCACTGAAACAAAGAGATTTGTTAGTCCCTGTTGAGGAATCATGGACCACAGAAGTTGCACCATTGCCACCACCCCTGAACTGTTCTCTAGAGTAGTCTATCCTGTAGGCTGTGGACTGGGGGTTGGGGACCCTTGCTATAGATCTTAGGGATGGATGCCATCAGGGTAAATAAAGCCCCTTGACCAAGGCCATCCAGTCAGTGAGGAGCAGTAGCACTTTCCATGCCTCTGGGATGTTCTTGTTTATTTGTAACTCTGTTCCTCCCCTCTGGCCTGCTTCCCATCCTATCTCCAGGATGGCTGAGAAAATGCCTTAACAAGGGAAGGAAGGTAGGGCAGGGCAGAGCAGGGCAGGGCCCCGCATCTGGGCTATAGCTGCTTTTGCTGGGCATGGCCCAGGAAGAACCCGGTCCCCCTTTAATAATAACTCTCCCAAGGTGCCTGAATTCCCACCTTTAGTGCACCCTTAGTGCCCTGGGCCTCTACTTTTTCAAGGCCCTCTCAGAACCTCCTTTAACTGTGCCTCCACCCAGAGGGCAATGATGCCGGAGCCTCTGGGGGCAGGAAGCTTAAGGTATTAGAAAACAAAGTACAGAAAGGAAATAAAACTTCCATGGTCTGGCCATCTCCTCTGGACCAGAGTTTGTGCCCATGGTGAACAGCATTTCCAGGGCCTCGGGTAGGCAGTCTGCTGGGTCACCCGGCCTCCAGAGATCTGACTCATCCTTGCTTTTGAAAGGGCTTGCTGCACCCACGCCCTTGGATCCTGGTCTGACATGGCCAGGACCACAAAGAAAGCACTTTGCACCCAGATTACAGATAAAATGATGTCCGGAAGGAAGTGTCCTGTGGATAGAGGCCTCCTGGTGGCATTTTAGTCTCAGGGGAGCAACTGTGGGCTTTCTCTAGGGCACTGGTGGAGGAGGGGTTGGTTTGCCTGTAGTCTGTAGACCGAGATTTGAGCAGGTCAGATTGGGAGCTGCAGTCCCAAGGGAAGTTGAGCTGGGACTGGAAGAGCTGATGCTGGTGGGCCGAGGGGTGCTCTCACATGCCCTTCTCCCATAACACACCCCCAACAGTGTAGCCACAGATCAGAGAAGGAAAGAGCCGGAGGTGGAGAAACTAAGGATGGGGACCTGCTCTGCTGGGGTGAGGGTGGGAAGGCCCTCCTGCTCAGTACTTAAAGGAAACAATTAATTTTCAAAAGGAGAAAGACTCAAAACAGCCCAGTGGGGTCTGGTGCCCCTGCCCCCACCCCATCCATGTGGGCAGAGGTCTGAGGGTGGCGGAGCCTGCTGTCTCCGCAACCTTCACCCTCCCCTAAGGACCCTGCTGGGGCCTCTCCCCACTGGTGCAGTCTCCTCAGATTGGCTCTAGCAATGCCAAAGTGCAGCTTGGGCTCCCAGGACACTGCTGTCCCCTCACTCCCAATCCTGCCCAAGGATCATCTACAGGGCTGGTTGGGGTGGGCGTCCTGTCCAGCCTCTGCTTCTTAGGGGACCGCCGAACTTTGGGGCTGCCAAGACCCTCAGCTTCTGCCTCCCGCCCCCTACCCTGAGTGTGCAGCCCGGGGCCCCTGTAAATGCCCCAAGTTGAGCATTGTCCTCACCCGCATCCTGAGCAGCCCCTTCTGCTTGCTGCTTCAGGTCCTGCAAGCCCTTGCTGGCCATGCCCACCGGGATCTGCGAGGTTGTCAAGGGTAGCCGAAAGTACCTTGTATCTTGCTCACGGAGCTGACTGGTATTTGTTTTTTTTAATGAGGCCGGGGTGGAGCGCAGGGCGGTTCCCAGTAGACACACTGGAGGAGTGACCGGGCCCTGCTCCAGGACCGGGCTGTGTTGGCCCTGGAGCACATCCTGGCCTCAGACATGCCTTGGTGGGAAGGCGGTGGCCCCAACCAGGGTGAGGAAACAGGCTAGGAACTGCAGAGAGACTGGGCCTGGGTTGGAAAAGGGTGCACACACCTCCCACACCCCAACAGCCTGCTCCCTCCCTCACCGACCCAGAGAATCCCCCCAACCCATGAGCACTGCGTTAGCACCAGGCCAGGATCTCAGAAATTAATATAGTAGCTGCCTTTTTTTGAGCATTTGCCTTGTGCCAGGCTCTGCCTGAACGCTTTCAAGCCTTTGGTATAGTCTTTACTACCTTGTGAAATGGGTGTTATTTATTATCAGTTTATAGGAAGAAGCTGAAGCACAGAGAGGGCAAGGAACTGATGACAGGCCACCGGCCAGCCGCCACTGGGATGTGGTGGGCAGAGGGGTGGGGAGAGTCAGGTAAGTTCCACCCCCCCTCACAGAGGGCAAGTCACCAGCGTTCATCCTCCATCCCTCCCCCTCAAAAGTCAGCTGGGAGCTGGGAGGGGAGTTAAAGACTTGTGAGTGAGTGGAAAATCCAGGATCCATCAGGGACAGCAAAATGACTCTCGAGGCACAACCTGCCTGCGCTCAATGGTGAAGGTCGGGCCCCCACCCTACCTCGCACCTGCCCACTCCAGAGTCCAGCTTTGGAGCCTGGAGGCCACCTCTGCACACTCCACCCCGTGTCTCCATGGGGCATAACGACCCTCTCCTGTGTTGTTCTCTGATTCTTCCTCTCCAGGCCTGTCTGCACCTATGTAGGATTCTCCCCTACCCTGAAGTCCTGGGAAGCCCCACTTACCCAGGACCACTCTGCTAGCCCACTCTGTACCTGTAATGGGAACGGGAGAAGGGTGTGGAAGCGGGGAAGGAGAGACTGATGGTAAGACCGGGAGGGTCAGCCTCTGGTGGGAAGGGATTGATGGAGATGTTAGTCCTGGGCAAGAGGAAGGGGCTTGCCCTGAGATCAGTCGGGTGGGGAGAGGGACAACTACATGGCTGCCACACCCACCCTGCCAGCTGCGCCAGGCTGTGAGCTGGGGTCTAGCCCAGAGCGCAGAGACTCTGTGAGGAACTTCCCAAGGGCTGGTCACCACTCTGAGTACCCAGCCTGGCTACTGCCCCATTGCTGCCCACCCTCCCGAAATCCCATCAGTTAGCCTAAAAGACCTTTTACACTGCTCTAGGAAGCTCCCCACTGGGCAACTGAGGCTGAGGCTATTTGGCATCAGACTGAAGTAGTCAGGCAGCAGCTGGCCTCAAAAGGTAATAATAGAGACAGCTCAGAGTGTCTCTTAAGCAGCAGGGACTGCAGGAACCCTTGATTTCAACGATCTCCTAGGGCATTTCCTCTCTCTGAGCCTAAACATCCCTCCCCTTGATGGTGGGGGGACATAGTGTTACTGTAAGCATTAAATGGGCTGAAGTGAGACAAGATAGTAAGAAGCTAGGAAAATTCCTTGACAAGTGGAACAGGGAAACGGAGACAGAGAGCTGAACACAATGGCTGAACAAATTACAAATGGGTTCAGATGGTCACCAGGGTGGAAGACCCTAAGTCCCTGGCAGGGATAACCTCCTCTACCCTGGCCTTTCCTCCCTGGAAATAACATCTAGGCTTGTGCACTCTCCCTGTGGGAGCAACTGGCATAACTTCTTTTTCCTTCCACCCTGCCCCCACTCCAGTCCAGTCCCGACTTCTTTCCTCACAGGCACGTGTCTCCTAAACTCTAAGGCCGTGTGCAGCTGGCATCTTGTCCCAGGCTAATCCCCTGAACTGACCCCAAGGCCCCTTTTTCTCTGACTTTCCAGTGAGCTAAGGCAACCCAGCCTAGGCTCTCCTGTTGTTTCTTCTATGCTAAGCCCTTTCTTGTTTCATTGTCACTAGCTTTAGTAAATGCATCCTCATAGTCACCTGGACTAGTGTTGTGAAATTGTTCCTACAAGAAGTCAAGAACCCACATACTACAGCTGGCCCTAGGAGACCCACTCAGGGCCAGGCCTCTGTCTGGTAACAGCTGGATGCCCCAAACTCAGCTAGGGCCCTTCAGGAGAGGGCAGGGCACCCCAGGAGTTTCTCTAATAAGGAGAGGAGTAGGAAGAGAGCAGTTACTCCTCTAAGGAAGTCAACTGCAGCCCTACAGACCTGAGAGCACATGTGTGGGTTTAAAGGCAAGTACACTACAGGTACCATGGATTGGGGTATCCAATGGATGGTCTTCCTGGACTGCACAGACCTTGATGTTTGGCCCTTGACCCCAGGAACAGGCTGTAAGTATGTGTGTAGGGTTGGGGCAAGCATCAGGGACCCTTTCAGGTTCCTTAAGCTGAGGCAGAGGGCACTCACTGGGAGTATGGTAAAATACTATCCCCAGGTCCCAGGTCTAGGTGTCCCCTCACCCAGTCACCTCAACAGCCCTGCTTCTTCTCACTTTTTCTTACAACCCAAAGAGCTCTCTGGCACACCCATGCCCCTGGTGGCCTTTTCCTGGGGCATGCACAGACCTGCCAGGCACTGTGTCTGGGCCCGGGCCTAGGAGCAGGAACACCCTTGACTGCCCCAGCTCTTCCAGACCCTTCACTCCTCCCATGGCAGGGTTTGGGGGGTTGGGAGGCTAGCAGCTCCTTGCTCCCATCTGCCTCCTCAGCAGTGGATATTATAGGCCAGCAGGCTGGTATATAACCCAGCTCAGCTGCATTTGCTGGGTTCCCAGTCCCCAGGGGTGCCCTTGACTTGTGCTCCGCACCACAGAGGCAGGATGGGAAAGTAGTATGAACTCAAGCTCTGACTCTAACAGCCAGGCCTGGGGCAAATCACTTACATGTTCTGAGCCTAACCTGTCTTGAGTGTCAAAAGATAGGGCACCCCTAGTGGCTTGCTTAGCCACCTCTGAACAAGCCTCCAGAGTGTGATGCCTGCAGCACTTCATGTAGGACATGTACTGGCCCAGTCCCAGGTTATTTTAAAACCTGGGGAGTGGCGGCATCTGCCGTAAACTCACTGGAGCCCACTCAGTCAAGGCGGCCATAGCAGAGCATAGGAGTTGTTAAAGAGAGAACCATGGGCTCGAAATGGTGTCACTTGTGCTCAAACTCCATGATACCAAACCTAGATTTAATACCTGATTTAGTTGCAGTTTCAACTTCCCCAGAAACATAACCATAATCAACCAGTATGGAATTTTCTGATCAAGCACTTATTAAGGTAATCTGCCAGATGGGCCCTCTCTATCTCCCTCTCCCTAGAAAGAAGAAGCAGTCTTCATCATAAAAACCCTTTCATGCTTTTCCCCCAAAGAAAATATGTCCCTGCCCCCTGCTTAAATCTTTTTCCTTTTGTTATACTTCCCTTGCCCCATCCTTCTTCCTGTAAACATCTTCCATTTTGTACCACCCCTCAGAATGCCCTTTTAGTTCCTAGAAGGGATGCTGCCCCATTCATGAATTGCTTAATAAAGCCAATTAGATCTTGGTTGAACCCTGGCTGGTGTGGCTCAGTGGATTGAGTGCTGGACTGCAAACCAAAGGGTCACTGGTTCGATTCCCAGTCAGGGTACATGCCTGGGTTGCGGGCCAGGTCCCTACTGGGGGACACTTGGGAGGCAACCACACATTGATGTTTCTCTCCCTCTCTTTCTCTCTTCCTTCCCCTCTCTCTAAATATAAATAAATAAAATCTTCAAAATAACTTATAAAAAAGATCTTGGTTGAATTTTTAAAAAAGATTTTATTTACTTGGTTTTAGAGAGAGGAGAAGGGAGAATAAAGAGAGGGAGAGAAACATCAATGTGAGAGAGAGACATCAATCAGTTGCTTCACTTGGGGACCAAACCTGCAACCCAGGCATGTGCCCTGACAGGGAATTGAACGGGTGACCCTTCACTTTGTGTGATGATGCCCAACCACCTGAGCCACACTGGTTAGGGCTGAATTTTGTTTTTTTACGGAGTCAACTGAGTGGCTCTAGAGTGAGGCCACCTGGGCTTCTTCCCAGTCCCACACTTGCTTAGCTGTGTGCCCTTGGGCAAGTTATTTAACCTCTCTGTTCTTCAGTTCATTCTGGGTGAAGCTGGGATCAGACAAACTATTTGTTCCCAGGATTAAAAGAGGTAAAACAAACCCAGACTGGTGTGACTCAGTTGGTTGAGCATCCTCCTGCAAAGCAAAAGGTCACCAGTTGGATTTCCAGTCAGGGCAGATGGCTGGGTTATGGGTCAGTCCCCAATCCATGATCAATATTTGTCTCCCTTTTTTTTCCTCCCCTCCTCTCTCGCTAGGAACAAATAAAATCTTAAATGAAGTAAAGCACTCAGAACTGTTCGACACCTGGGAGGAGCTCAACAAATGTTCATTTTTTGCTATTTTTCTCTCAAGGTGAGCTTCTTCTCATACATCTCAGTTGTGTTTTCTGATGCTTGACAAACTCCTTAGTGAAGGAAGGTGGCAGTTTGAGCTGTTGCGTCCTCTGTGAGGAGGTGGTTGGAAGACTTCTGGCTATATGGATTTAGACTTCACATCTTTGAAAGTTACCATCTACTCCAGGGAGGGGTGTTACGTGTCCCATTCTCCAAAGGGTACTGGAGCCAAAAACACATGGCAGGATGGCCCAGGAGACCCCCATTCACCTTCCACAGTCATGGGCCCATCCCCAGAGGGTGAGCTAAAGCTCAAACCTGGAGGCATTTGGTCTCACGCTCCTGAGTACAGCCTGTCCTGGAGGTTGTCCTGGCAGCCCAAAGCAGGGCCACATCCTCCATCCTTTGAGTTGGCAATGATGAATGAGTTGGGGGTGGGAGGAGTTCCCTAAAGGAACTCCTAAGAACCTGCTAAGAGCAGGTTCTAAAAATGCCCGGGTGTCTTTATAGGGTACCTGGTCCCAGGCCAACAGGCTGGTCCAGCC